GTCCGGGGGTGGAGGGGTGTGCGTGTGGTAGGGGCGAGGGAGGGGAGCGCAAGACAGGACTGACTCTTCCTAGGTTGATGAACCTCTCTCTCCCTTCAGCCTTTCCACCTCCATAAACCATGAGCAGCACTAAACTTCTGGTTGGTTTGACAGCCCAGCTAAACTAATTACTGGAATATGAACATGAAATGGTAACCAAAAAAATCGGGAAAATACAAAATATCTTTAATTCTTTTGTTTCTTGAATTAAATTTTTAAAAAAATTTTTGAAAGTGTGCTTTTCTTCTGTGTATTTGGTTTTAACTTCTATCTCTGCAATTTTCAGAGAGGGATTGATGCAGGATGTAAACCCGTAACTGAATTACAAAACTCAAGGATTTTTCTGATGATGAGGGGTTAATATAAATGTTTTCTTTGAATGGGAGAATGTATATTCTATATAAGCATTTAAAATACAGCACATTTTTCCTACAAGTTCAGGCCTGAGAGCTACTCAATTGTGTTGTCTGTTTGCAGTGGTAAGAGAGTGAGGGGGCAACAGGCTGGCACAGTTGGAAGAGTGTGTGACTCTTGATTTCGGAAAAAAAAGTTCAAGCCCCATACTGGGGGAAGAAATTACTAAAATAAAGAAATAAACTTAAAAAAAAGAGAGAGAGTGAGTAAAAATGACAGGGAAAATTGGGTAGGGAGAGGTGAAATGATTTATACTACTGAATTTAATCACATTTTTTTCTGGTGACAGAGCTGAAGGAGTTTAAGTAACTCGTCCAATATCCCCCAAGTATCAGCGCCAGAATCCAAATCCATGTCCGTTTGACCCCGAGGTCCATATTCTTCGCTCTGCATTCTTTGCCTCCAGGGAGGCTCTTCTGTGACCTCCTCTCATAAAGTCCCCCATCCTCCCACTCTGCCCCCTGGCTTGTGATGGCATGCTCCTGGAAGAAAGCAGGGCTGATTTGGGACCCATTCCAGAGGCTCGCTGCTTTAAAGTGGTTCTTTTTTTTTTCAGGTGATGGCTATAGAGGACTGTTGGATAAAACAAAAACATAAAACAATGGTTTTTTTCTTTCTTTCTTTTTTCTTTCTTTCTTTTTCTTTCTTTCTTTCTTTCTTTCTTTCTTTCTTTCTTTTCTTTCTTTCTTTCTTTCTTTTTCTTTCTTTCTTTCTTTCTTTCTTTCTTTCTTCTTTCTTTCTTTCTTCTTTTTTTTAAAAAGATTTACTTATTTATTTGAGAGAGAGTACGAGCGAGGGAGTGGGTGGGAGAAGCAGGGGGGGAGATGGAGAAGCAGACCCCCCACTGAGCAGGGAGCCCGATGCGGGGCTCGATTCCAGGATCCTGAGATCATGACCTGAGCTGAAGGCAGAGGCTTAACCGACTGAGCCACCAGGTGCCCCGAAACAACAGTTTTCTTGACAAATTGCAGTGTGCATCTGTTAGAAAGTGTGAGGAACAAATCAGTTAAAGGCTGAGAAATAGAAATAGTTGAGGGTGTTGTTGGTGCTTTGGAAAACAGCCAACTTGATTTGTGTTTTACTCTAAAAACGACTGAGGCATTGCCCCATTTTGGGGTATGATTTGGCATTTTATCCATCGTGGTAAAGTGTTGTCCAGGCCTTTTCTCTTTATCACCTTAGATTTTCTCCAAACTCCACAGGACACTTCAGCAAAGGCCAAAAGCCCATCTGCTATGGGGAGTGCTTGAGTAACATCTTAAGATGACATATCTGAAGCAGGCAGCCAGATAGCACTGGCTGGGTCCAAGTTTGGTGCTAAATGTTGGTTCCTCTTTCGTTTTCTCAAGAGATACGAATTTAATAGAATTTTGAGGAAAGTCATTGGTCTGAATTCGGCACAACTGCAAAGTGTATTACCTTTGTGATGATGTCATAGAATGTTTGGATGGGAAGGCCCGAGAGATCATCTTCTAATCTAACTCTTCTTTTCCCCCAGCTTTATTGAGGTCTAACTGACAAATAAAAATTGTATGTATTTAAGGTGTCTGATGTGATGACTTGATATGCATATGCATTGTGAAATGATACCACAGTCAAGCTAATCAACATATCCATCGCCTCACTTGGTAACCATTTGTGTGTGTTGGTGAGAGCACCTAAGATCTATTCTCCTAGAAAACTTAAAAAAATTTTTTTAATTAGATTTTTTTTTTTTTTTAAGTAAACTCTATGCCCACTGTGGGGCTGGAACTCATGATCCTGAGATCAAGAGTCACGTGCCCTACCAACAGAGCCAGCCAGGTGCCCCTCTCTTAGCACATTTAAAGTATATATTAACTATAGTCACCATGCTGCACAGTAGATCACCAGAACTGATTGATTTTATAACTGAAAGTTTGTATCCTTTCATGAGTTCGACTTTTTTTAGATTCCACACATACATGAGATCATACAGTGCTTGTCTTTCTCTGTCTGACTTATTTCACTCAGAACACTGTCCTTCAGGGTCATCCATGTTGTCTCAGGTGGCAGGATTTCTCATGGCTGAATAATATTCCACACATGTATGCACATAATACACACCACATCTTCTTTGTCCTTTCATCCATCGACAGACACTTAGGATGTTTCCATACTGTGATAATTTTGAATAATGCTTCAATAACATAGAAATGCAAATGAGATCCTAATTTCATTTGCTTTGGTTATATTTCTAGAAGTAGAATTGCTGGATTATATGGTAGTTATTTCTTTATTTTTTCCAAAAAAAAAAAAAAACCACCACCATATTTATTGAGTTGACCCTGATCTAAAGAGGAAGATGTCAAAAGAAAACCTAAAACATGTACATAAGCACACACCTCCCTGAACCCAGATAACCTAAAAGAAAATATAACACAAAGTCCTGTTCAACAGATAAATTTATCTTCTCTTCTGGAAGATGTTTCCATGCCCCAGTACCTGTCCTCTTGTAGCCACTGGAGCCTTCATTTTTTTTTTTTTAAGATTTTATTTGTTTATTTGAGAGAGAGAGAGAGAGCACAGAAGTAGGGGGGAGGGGCAGAGGGAGAGGGAGAAGCAGGTTCCCGCTGAGCAGGGAGCCCGATGCGGGGCTCGATCCCAGGACCCTGGATCAGGACCTGAGCCCAAGGCAGATATGTAACCCACAGAGCCACCCAGACACCCCAACTTGGGCCTTCAGAATAGCAACTTTTCCCCGGTCAGCCCAAGCCTTCATTTTATTTTTCATGCTTTTTAACATGGACAGGTTTTTCAGCATGTCAGGCAAAATGAGAAAGTGGATCTTGCTGCCACAGATGTACACCCACCCCAGCTGTGCCCCTCGGCCTTGTCTGTATGTGAGTGTGATGTTGGACATCTGGCAGTTCATGTTGTCCTTGGCCTTAAAGAGCTTCCCATGATACACCTCACCAGCTTGGTCTCACACGTCACCATGGGACCCTCAGCCCTGCATAGGACCGCAATCAGCAAGCCATTTGATAGACATCTCAGCAGGAAGAGAGTTCTCACCAGCTCCAGCCTACTCTTCCTTCTGGGTGAGGAGGTAACTCTGGTAGCTGCAAAGGTGTGAGCCAAGTGAATGGCAGGGCCACGCTCCTGGTAGTTCCTTTTTCAGATTTTCTGAGGGACCTCATACTGTTTTCCACAGCAGCTGCACCGATTTCTTTTTCTCCACACCCTCACCAACACTTGATATGGCTGGTCTTTTTGGGAGTAACCATCCTAATAGGTGAGAGGTAAGATCTTACTGTGGTTGATTTGCATTTCCCTGCTGATCGGTGACTGAAAACTCTTTTGTATTTTTTTTTTTTTTTTGTATTTTTTTTTTGGAAAAATGTCTATTCGGGTCTGTTGCCCACTTTTTTTTTTTTTAAAGATTTTTTTTATTTATTTGACAGAGAGAGCGCACAAGCAGGGGGAGTGGCAGGCAGAGGGAGAGGGAGAAGCAGGCTCCCTGCTCAGCAGGGAGCCCAATGTGGGACTCAATCCCAGGACCCTGAGATCCTGACCTGAGCCAAAGGCAGTCGCTTAACCAACTGAGCCACCTAAGCGCCCCGATGCCCACTTTTTAGTTGGATATGTCTTGATACTGAGTTTTATGAGTTCCTTATATGTTTTGGATATTAATTCTTTATCAGACATATGGTCGCAAATACTTTCTCCCATTCTGCAGGTTGTTTTTTCATTTTGTTGTGGGTCTGTCTCCTCTTTAACCAACACCAAAATCTGACCAGAAGGCCCGGTTCATCAGAATCCTCTTGACACTAAACTTATAGAGGCAAGAAGAAACTTATAAGAAAGCCAGTTGATGACAAGGATGTTTCAGTAAACATAGGGCTGTCCAGGTGGCATCCTGTGTTCAGTACTCATCCCTCTGGTTCTCAGACAGCTAATCTCTGGTCCTGGATGGTGACTGCTGAGCTCAGAAAGACAAGACACCAGAAGCCCTGGAGTCAGACGAAACCAGATGAGTGCTGCTCGAAGCCACACTTATTAAGACAGGAAAGGAAACTCCTATTTTAGGAAGTTTTCTAATGACAGGGCTAAGCCTTGATAAACCAGAGAACTCAGTGAATCAGAACACACTGTCTGGCACCCAGCACCTGCTTCCCTTGGACTTGGGGCTCAGTCAGAGGGTGTTTCTTCCCCCCAAGGAGGACTGCTGAGACTGTGCTATGGAAAGCTTGAAGCCAGGCGATGTTTTCCATCCTCCCTCGGTCCTGCCTGCCCAGTGTTCCCTCGCTGCTTCTCTTCACTGGTCTTGCACGAAGAGAGATCTAGGGTGACAGGAAAGTGATTACTCAGCTGACATCAGATTGAGTCCTTTTTATTTGCCCTTTTGCTGGCCTCAGGCTCTGATATTGGGAACATCCGTATTGCGCTTGTGAATGTTTTTATTGCACAGAAGAAACACGTGGATTGCAGTGGGACTCTGATTTAAAGGTCTGATGCGTGTGGCTGTCTGGTAGCTCTGTTTTCTACAGTCCTTTGACTAGAAAAAGAAATCAAAGTGTGTTTTAGTCATGCTGAGCAGCAAGGGCCAGGGACTCCTTCCCTTTGGTTTGTGTCTCTGGTTGTGTATATTCATGCCTTGCTTGAAAGGTAGGTTTTATTTCTGCTTTATCTCATATCCTCTTTCCAGCTACATGTGTTTGCTCTTCTTTTCTAGTTGTGCTTGATTGAGCAGAGATGAGATATTCAATGTCTGAATATGCAGAGGGTCTGCAGAGGAATTACTGCAGTTATAACTGCTAATTAATCTATTTCTTACTGGGTAGGTTTAACATGTAACATGAGATTTAGGGGGTGGGGTGGGGAGGACAATGAAACCTTGTAAACCATACCTTATTTTATTGTCCCACCAAAAATATGGTGATAATAATGATGCAGTTTTCTATCCATCTCTGCCATGGGTATATTCACCTGGTTTATTTGTATTTGTATTTAATATATATATATTTTTTACCTGTGATTTGTTTGTTAGCTGATACTATGACTTAGTCCGTGAACCCTTCCATTTTGAAGGTAATCATCATTGTTTTGGGAAGTATGTCATATTACTGTGCTAGAATGTGTCCTAAGAGTAAGATTATTCATTTTAAAGTTAAGCCTTGGAAACAGCTGCTATTCTGTGGAAGAAAACCACATTTCCATGTGCTGTTGGCTTTGCAGGGGCTTGCTCTTCAAGACTCGTGGAGGGCTTATCTACAGCGTCTGGGGGTGGGTGGGAATGGGGTAATGGAGTATGGGGTAATTGTTTCTTGTCTGTTTTATGTAGAAATATTTCTACCATTATTGATTATAGTGGCAAGAGTGCTGTTTTACATTGAAAATTGTTCTTTCCTGCTGAAAGCTCAGAGTTTCAGTGGTTCCAAGTGCATTTGTCAAACTACTCTTTAGTGATACAACAGCTATTCTTTTGTTCATTTTTGCAGAATGAGTTTTCAGTCCCTTTAATTTTCTTTCTTTCAGGGTATAAGTCCCTCTGGGAAATTTGTAGAACAGTATGTCAGATGTCGAATTTGGCTTCTATAAGGGAAAATATAGAGAGGTATTAATGAAGTGAATTATGTCAAATGAAGGCAAGTAACCTACTTTTAATGCATTCTTGGAAAAATACAGACATACACATTAAGCTATTTAAAATTTAGTGACGAAAATGCTGTTATTTAAGAACTAATTTTGAATTCTTTTAAAACTATTTAAATAAGTTCGCCTCAAAAACCTTGCACTTACACAAATCTCCAAAATAATTGAATTCAAAGCTGACTTTAAAAAGGAGTATGGCTTGTTAAGGTCTTAATAAGATTACTGGTTATTTCAGTTTGCTTGGTGAAGTTTCCCCAGCTAAGCACCTCACTGGTTGTAGAAACAGGTAGTTGGATCAGCGTTTTGACAAGAAAGGGCAGGACTCTTCCTTAATAACCAGAGCAGAGAGATCATGAGCTATCCTCAGTGACGTAAGCAAGAATCAGAGTTCATGCTATCCCCTTACGTGTGTGTGGCATTAGACTTTTAAAAGAGCTCTTGCCAATATTATTTTATTTGATATCACAGTAGTTCTGGGACATAGGCATTCCTCTTTTTATCTTCAGGGCAGAGGTGACCAACCGAGGCTCAGAGAGGCAAGGGACAATGGGTACAGGGGCAGTCTGTACGGGTGGACAGAACACAGGGGCAGGAGGGCTCCGTTGGCTTGGACACCCCACTGCCTGTGTCACCTGGTGATGGAAGCTGCCAGAACCTCCCCATCTGCAAGCACCCTGTCTGCTTCTCTAACTCTTCCCTCTGTTTGGCCATGCAGGCTCTGCAGCCTGTGCATCTGAAGAGAGACTCTTCCGCGAACTGTTTTCTCATTATAACCAGCTCATCAGGCCTGTAGAAAACGTTTCTGATCCCGTCACAGTGCGTTTTGAAGTGGCCATCACACAGCTGACCAATGTGGTAAGTGCCGCCGGGTCACCGCTCGTTCTCAGAGAAACCCTGACTCTTCGGTGGGGGTGGGGGTGGGGGTGGGGGTGGGGAGCAGAGCAATTCTCGACATTGTCCCAGTTACTGTATAGGGTAAATAGAGAAATTTTAAAAACACGAACAAACACACATCTACATGAGCGCGGGCCCTGCAAAGCCCTCGGGTTGGGAAGAAGACACTTCCCCATTGATGCTGTAATTACTCACATCAAGGCAGTGTCTTTCTGGAAGTGTTTTCAGAGCGAGTTTATGAAACAAAGAGGCGAAGGGGAAGTTGAAGGGAGAATACAGAGGGAGCTAACTTCATTGTGCACCTATTATGCACCAGTCACTGTGTCTACACTTAGTGGCTGTCATCTGCATTTTATAGCTGGAGGGAAGCTCAGTTAAGCAAACTTCTTAAGGTCCTTTTTTTTAACATGGTAAAAAAAAGATCTTAATCAAACCTGTCCGACTCCAAAGCTTATGTTTTTTTCACTCCATAAAAAAAGAATGGCTTTAAGCCTTCTATATTATGCAAGAAAGGAAAAAAAAAAAATCACCTTCTTTCATACAGAATTCCATCCAGCCCTGAAAAAACACATGGGAATTTGGAGTTCTTACTTTAATTTATTGCCTACTATGTTCAAGGGCAAGTAGGACTGCAGTTCTTTTCGTTTTGTTTTGTTTTAAGATTTTATTTACTTATTTGACAGAGAGAGAGAGAGACAGCGAGAGCAGGAACACAAGCAGGGGGAGTGGGAGAGGGAGAAGCAGGCTTCCTGTGGAGCAGGGAGCCCGATGTGGGACTCAATCCCAGGACCTTGGGATCATGACCTGAGCCCAAGGCAGACGCTTAACTACTGAGCCACCCAGGCGCCCGACTGCAGTTCATTTTGAATAATCTTCATGCCCTAGTTGGCAGAAGAGGAGGTAGTGAGACCTGATACTATAACCTAGAGCAGAGTTCTGGCTCCAAGGCATAGGATGGGGCTGAGCTGGCTTGGACCAAATTCCAGGAATAGGCAGGCTCAGGAAGTAGGGGGAGCGTAAGCATCTGCAGAGAGACAAGAGTGCACAACAAAGGGAGCCCCTTTCATCAGTCCCAGCCAATGGATAAGGAAGGAGCCCTCCGTCCTCCTAGGCTTTGCCCCTTGGGAAACAGTGGTGGCTCTCAAGGTTCACTGGGGAAAGACCTTCATTACAGATGTGAAGTCAGGGCCCGTGATATTTCTCCAGTCCATGCTTCCTGGTGGACGAGGCTGACCCTGGCCTGGTCCTCTGGCTTCTGGCCCAAGTTGGAAATATGTATATACTGGTACATATTGGTTTAAAAAAAGTCACATGTTTTCTTTTGCTTAGATGGACCCACTCATTCATTTAAAAAATATTTATTTGGTACCTATTCTGATCCTCTCTACCCCCAAATAGTGTTATACTGGTTACTGGCCTCCTACTGGGCTGGGAGCCATAATTTGCTGTGGATTGGGTTGTTACAAAGTAAGTTTCACCTAAAGTCAGTCTATTTCACTGTACTTCAAATTCATGGTTGATATACCCTTTCAGGACATTGTTCTGAGGATGGTGGGTGGGGATGGCAGAATACAGATTTTGACATTTGCATTTGGCTGCTATCAGAGATTTTAAAACATAACACAGCTTAAATAAAACAAGTTTATTTCTTTCTTATGTAACAGAAATCTAAAGGTTAACAGTTTAGGAGGTTAACACCAGGTGGCTTCATGGTGTTAGTGATTGCACCACTGTGTTCGGTTGCTCAGGTTAGACACTGCACAACATCCAGGGGATGCCAATCACATGGACCATGATGCTTAAAGCATAAACCGTGCGTGGTGACAGTGAGCAAGGTTCCCATCTTTCTATTTCATCATGTGTTTTCTTCCCTCAGTGTTGCCAAGGTAACTGCTGATTTCACTCATCATATTCACACCCTTGGTAATAAGCAGGAGGAAGGGAGAAGGGCACATAACAGACATCTGTGACTTCCTTGAGGAGTTTTCTTAGAAGTCCTACTAACATCCTTGGCTTCCTATCTCACTGACAACCTCTAGCTGTAAGGGAGGCTTGGGAAATTTAGTTTTTTAAGTTGAATTTTATTTACTGAAATAATTGTAGGTTCATATGCAGTTGTAAGAAATAATAGAAAGAGGGCGCCTGGGTGGCTCGGATGGTTAGACGTCTGCCTTCGGCTCAGGTCATGATCCCAGGGTCCTGGGATCGAGTCCCACATCGGGCTCCTTGCTCAGCAGGGAGTCTGCTTCTCCCTCTCCCTCTGCCTCTCCCCCTGCTTGTTCTCTCTCTGTCTCCCTCGCAAGTGAATAAATAAAATCTTAAAAAAAAAAAAAAAGAAAGAATAGAAAGATCCCTTGTACACTTTGCCCAGTTTCCCCAGTGGCACCCACTAATATGTCTTCCATTTCTAAAATTTTGTCATTTTGAGAAAGTGATATAAAAACGGAATAATATAGTATGTAATCTTGTGGGATTGGTTTTTCCACTCAGTATAATTTTCTGGACACTCGTTCCAGTTGTTGATTGTATCAATAGTCCATTTCTTCTTGGTGTTGAGTAGTATTCCGTGGTATTTATGCACTGCAGTTTATTTCACTTTTCGTTGGTTGAAGAACATTTGGGTTGATTCCAGTTTCGTTCTATTACAAATAAAAGTGCTATGTACATTCGGGTATAGGTTTTTGTGTGAATGTAAATCTTTATTTCTCTGGGATAAACCTCCAGGTGTGCAATTGCTGGGTCATGTGGTAGTTGCCTGTTTAGTTTTTTAAGAAACTGCCAAAATGCTTTCCAGAGTGGATTTATCCTTTTTCATTCCTACCAGCAATATATAAGTGATCCAGTTTATCCACATCTTCACCAATATTTGGTGTTGTCACTAATTTTTATTTTAACCATTCTAATAGGTATGTAATAATATCTCATTGTAGTTTTAATATGCATTTTCCTAATGACTAATGATATAGAACATCTTTTCATGTGCTTATTTTCCATCTGTATATCTTTTTTTTTGAAATGTTTGTTCATGGTTTTTTGCCCATTTTCTAATTGGATTGTTTGACTTTTTTTTAACTCTTCAGTGTTGAGATTTCTTGCTATATTCTAGGTACTAATGCTTTGTCAGATATGTGGTTTGTAAATACAGTTGAACTTTGAATAATGCAGGGGTTAGGGGTGCCAGCCCCTACCATAGTCAAAATTCTTCATATAACTTTTGACTCCTCCAAAACCTAACTATTAATGGTCTACCGTTGACCTGAAGCCTTACTGATTACATAAACACTTGATTAACACATATTTTATATGTTATGTGTGTTATATTCTGTATTCTTACAATAAAGGAAGAGAAAATAAAATCTTATTAAATCATAAAGAAGAGAAAACACATTTACAGCACTGTGCCATGCAAATTCTACATGGAAGTGGGCATGCACAGTTCAAACCTGTGTATTCAAGGGTCAGCTATATTTTACCCTAGTTTGTAGCTTCTCTTTTCATCTTTTTCATGTGGGCTTTCACTCAAACTTTTCCATTTTGATGAGGTCCAATTTATGAATTTTTCCTTTTATGTGTTGTGCTTTTGGTATTAAACCTAAGAATTCTTTGCCTTATTGCAGATCCCAGAGATTTTCTTTTATTTTTTTTCTTAAAGCTTTATTTATGTTTTACATTTCAGACTGTTATCCATTTTGAGTTAATTTTTAATTTTTGTATAAAATGTGAGGCTTGATTTTTTTGGGCAGGGGGTGGTCTGTGGTGTCTAATTGCTCCAGAATCATTTGTTGAAAAAGCTATCCCTTTTTCCATTGAGTTGGCTTTGCACCTTTGTGAAAAATCAGTTGAGTGTATTTGTGGGTCTATTGCAGGGTACTCTGTTCCATCTCTTTGATCTCTGTGACTAGCCCTCCACCAATACCACCCAGTCTTGATTACTGTAGCTGTATAGTAAGTCTTTTTTTTTTATTTTTAAAAGATTTATTTATTTATTTGAGAGAGAGAGAGAGAGCAGAAGCATGGAGAGGGGCAGAGGGAGAGGGGGAGGCAGACTCCCCACTGAGAAGGGAGGCTGTGGAGGGCTTGATCCCAGGACCTGAGCTAATGGTTGACATTTACCAGCTAAGCCACCCAGGCACCCAGTAAATCTTAATATTGGCCAGAGTGATTCCTGACACCTTATTCTTCTTTGTTAAAATTATATTAGCTATTCTGGGGCCTAAGCCTTGGAATAAGCTGCCTATATATACAAAAAACCTTGCTGGGGTTTTGAAAGGAATTGCATTACATCTATAGATTAATTTGGGGAGAAGTGACATTTTCACTGTTGTATAATCTTCCAACCCATGAATGCAAGATATTTCTCCATTTATTTAGCTCTTTTTTTCATCAGCATTCTGTAATTTTCAGCATACAGATCCTGTTTATGCATTATTATGTGTATATGTAAGTATTTTGTTTTATTTGAAGCAATTGACAATAATGTGCTTTTAATTTTGGTTTCTCCATGTTCATTGTTAGTATATGGAAATTAAATTGATTTTTGTATATTGATCTTGTATCCTGAGATCTTGCTGAACTCACTTATTAGTTTCAGTATTTTTATAGATTCCATGGATTTTCTATGTAGGCAACCATGTCATACGCAAATAGAGATAGTTTTATTTCTTCCTTTTCAATCTGTGCCTTTTTTTCCCCCTTTTTCTTGTCTTATTGCACTGACTAGAATTTCTAGTACTGTGTTGAATAAAAGTGGTGAGAGTGGACATCTTTGCGTTGTTCTCAATCTTAAGGAAAAAGCATTCAGTCCTTCACCATTTAGTATAATGATAGCTGTAGGCATTGTATAGAGGTTTTCATTAAGTTGAGGAAGTTCTTTATTCCCAGTTTTCAGAGAGTTTTTATCATGAATTGATGTTGAATTTTTGTTAAATGCTTTTTCTGCATCAATGGATATGGTCACATAA